AGTGTTCATATAATCTGTAATACTCCCTGCATGACAAAAGAAAATTAAAAACAATCCACTTGACTTCGTTTTCAAGTCTGAAGACATTTCACTTCCTCTCCCATAGCGTTGAGTTCAAGGTTTTATACAGTAGCCCAACAAAACGTTTTTGTTTTGTATAGATGCAAATTGAAACGGATGAAGGGGTCCACCCCTTTGGGATGGGGGTCGTTTGGCTTCTTTTTTTAAACTGCAATGCCCCTGGAAGGGAAGCGAAACTTCTTCAAACTTGGAATGACTATGACCTGGATGTCTGAGAAACTTCACCAGCTTACTCCCTGCAAGAATAATAATAAAGCTATTTATATGCAACGAGCGGACCACTATGACGATAGCCGTACTGCTCTGCTGTGAAAACCAAATCTGTTGGGCTCTTTTTGGCATCAAGACAATTATTCTTTGTTAGGATTCCTGTCTGTGTGGTTTGTGTTTTTGTGTCTTCCTTCCTCCACCAGGAGGCGCCTGGTTCTGGTCCACCTCCTCACATACCTGCAGATGGTTACCTCGGTAACGGAGTGTTCTTAAGCTGCTGACTGCCACTACCTCAACGCCAGAGTGTTTGCCAGTTTTGGGTACTCTAGCCAAGCTGAGTTTGTACTAAGTCAAACTGAGTTTTGTAAACCTGAGTCCTAACCGAGTTATTTTGTCTTTGCCTCTTGGCAGGAAGTCATCCTGCAAACTGGATTTTTTCGGACCTTCTCTCCCTGGAAGGATCATCTGAGCTTCAAACTGAGCTGGGGATTTAAACTGGAGGTTTGGATCTACTTTCCTCCAAGGGATCGTTTGAGCTTCACACTGAGCAAGGCATTCATCTCCACACCAACCCGTTCAAGAACCGCAGGAAATCCAAGTGGCAGTCAGTTTCTCCGTTCACCTACAAACAACCACATTCTGGGTTAACCCTGTCCGCCCTCCACCGAATCAGACAAACACTGGAACTACCGCACACAGACTGGAGTCAAAGAGTCAACCACTTTTCTGGAAACGTGAGTCAACAACCTAATTCTTGTCTTCAAGTTCAAGAATCAAATTTCCCACAGAGCCTGAACTAACCGCAGTGTCTTCCCCTCACTTTCCAGTTCCGGTTGAGCAGTGTTCTGGGCAACACTATATTCTGCAATATCTCCTCAATAAACCTGTTAAACCTTTTCCCTGGTCTCTCTGAATTGGTTTTCTCTGCATGTGGGTCCGAGCTCTTGATAAAATCATGACATTCTTATTGCAAACATTGCCAGACAAGACACGTACAGAATGAAGATAATAACTGTATATAGACGGATGGAGGAACTGTTCTAATTAGATCATCTACTAATCATCAGTTCTGACACGCAACAGGCAGCTAATATTAAGGTGTAATAAACTCACACATCATCAGTGATAATTATCCTAACATGTAACAAAAATCAGTTTAATTCATCATCTGGACAGATAAAGCTAAGCCTGCAAACCTACCAGGACATGGAGGTCTAGAGATAACAATGATAGGCATTTTCAGCCTACAGTCCGCTCTGTTTTGAAGGTTTCTTTGGAAATAAGCCCTATTTCAGTGTTAGAAAAATGTTTGGATCTTTTATGTTTTGTAATCCAGATATCCTCTATATGTTAATTCACTGAAGGTTGTAAATCTGTGGGAGGAAACTGGGAAACAGCACCTTGGAATGACAAAGGAAGGGGGTGTTTGCTTTGGAGCATGGGGTCAGTAACCTGGAGGGGATGGAGAGTGAATAAGATGGATACATTCTTTGTAATAAGCAGTTCAGACATTGCTTCTATATCCATATGTGCTGTACATACTGGGCTCTACCTGTGGAAATCCTTGCTGCAAGTAGAAAAACTTTTGATCTCAACATCTTCATGCTTTTTCATTTTTAGTTACGTGAATATTGGAATTTCACTGACGTGCAGTAATCTAGTTGTGTAAGCAGGCTCTGCTTACAGATATGTAACCTAACCCGAGAAATACTAGCTGATGCTAAAAAAAAAGAAGTCAGATAAAGAATTTTTTTCTTATATGAGACATGGATGTAATGATTTTTTTTTTAACCAAAGAAAAAATATTTTATTTTTAACCCCATTTTAAATATATATTCATACATATATATGTGTGTATATATGTGTGTATATATATATATATATATATATATCCAGGGTTCCTACACCATAAGGCAAGTTAAATTCAAGACTTTTTAAGACTTTTTAATGCCACTTGAAATAAAAATTTAAGACCAAATTTACAAGAAACACAAGAAAAACCTGCTTGCGACAATTTAACCCAAAGGTTTAATTTAACATAAATCACTGCACTAATGTTTCAAATTTTAAAAAGCTTCCCAAACAGGAAGAAAGCTAAAAACACACAAATGACAGATATATTTTAACAATTATTTAACTGAATTCACAAACTTTGTTTTAGCAGGGAACAAAACAAATCAGTTTTAAAGCCACAACATAACCAGTGCTAAGTCTTTTTTGCAGCTATTTTTCTTTGCATCGTTTTCTTAGTATGTTTGATTTGGTGATAAGTGGAGGCGTTGCAGAGACAAGGGTGGAACAAAACTGAGAAATACCGGCTGTTTCTTGGTAACTCGATTTTGACGCTTTGTTTTTCGCAATTTGCATGTGACTCCACTGCCTTAATTCCCATCGTTCTGAGCTTGAATCGCTTCTTGCACAAAATAAAGTGAGCCTCATATATGTTCCCTGGTTTTAGCCATGGAGAAAAGGCTGGATAGACAATTTTGGTTACATTTACACTTGCTCATATATTCCAGACAAAAAGTTAATGGTGCATCTCCCAAATGTCCCGTCCGCAACAACATTTTTATTGGTTCCGCTATCGGGACGGAACCAATAATGGCGAGCCGTTATTTTTTTTAAATAAAAAAAATTGTCAATTTTAACGTTTTATTTATATTACAAAAATAAACCATAATAAAATGATCCTATTTATGATGTTTTAAAAATTAAGACCTACTAAAGACTGATTTAAGACAGTTTAATACCAATTAAGGCCTTCGTTTTATTTTTAAGAATTCAATGCCTTTTAAGACTTTTTAAGGACCCGCGGGAACCCTTATATTTATATATATATTTATAGTTTATCTTTCAACTCTTCACTATAATGTTATTCTTATACATTTTTCTAAGGTCCACATTTTTGTGACCATTTTTTGTATAATCTTTTTGCTGCTGTAAACACCAGAATTTCCCCATTGTGGGACAATAAAGGGATTTTCTATTCTAAATGATCAGACTATATTCTATATTCACTACATTCTGTTATTTCTGCCTACTTAGTTTTTGCCAGGTGTTTTTCTAGTACATTTCAATTGTTGGAAGATTTTTTTCTATTCTTGCCATTATTTCTGTACTGTTGGATATGTTTTCCATAGTTTCTTCTTTAGGGTTTCCTCTGTTTTACCCTGTTTAATAATGTCTCCCTCTGCCTGAGCTTAAGATTTTATTCAGCTGTTACTCCTTATATTGCCTTTTGTTTGCATCTCCTTCATCACTACAGCCTGCAGTTAGCCGTCAGTATTCTTCTCTTTCTCTGTTTATCTTTATGTCTCCAAGCCTTTCTTTGTTTACCATTCACCATTGCCTTAAGAAATTCTCAAACTCACTATGCTTCTCAATAGCACTTTTCTCCAAAACACCAGGTTTTCACTAAAGCCGATGACGGGGGAAATGAAAGCATTAATTAAAGAGACAAAGACAGGCATTCAAAGAACCCAAACGATGGCCCAGTCCTAAGGGGCGGACCCGTTTGTCTGGTTCAATTAGCATGTTTTCTAATCCAAAACAAGGCTTTGTTTTTGGTCCACTCTATAAAGCCTCAAACTCAACGCTGTTTTTGACATTTTGAATTGAAAAAGCTTTCTGGATAGGAAGCAAAATGTCTTCAAACTTGGAAACAAAGTCTAGTGGTTTGTTTTTCAACTTTTTTGGAATGAGCATTAATTAAAGAAGAGCCTTGTGGAAAATTCTGACTTTGGAGGAGCAGTGCTCTGCTCACATGTGACCAGAATGTTCCTTTTGTTTCCAAAATGCAGTGTGAATGCAGAGTTTTCCTACTAAAAATCTGCTTAAGATTAGTCAAATTGTCACCTTTATGCTGGACACTAAGCTTAGCTTAACGCCAGAGCAAAGATGAAGTGATTGAAACCAAAATGCATTCATGCATTCGAGGTTCACTCTGAAAATCCAGCTAAAAATCTGATGAAAAGTTTGATGTATTAAAAAAAAAAAAAACTCTTCATCCAGACTAACTGAACTGAAATGTGCAAAATCGGTACACACATAAACAAATAAATAAATGTGTAAATAAAAAATCTTGGAAGCTGCAAAATATTGACACAGGAAGGCTGAGTAAAAATGCAGACCACTTTTCAATAAAAAGAATAAAGAAATATAAACTACCAAACTGGTAACCAACGAACTTTGCTGCCTTTTTTATAACATATATTTGCAGAAACTTTGAGAATGAACAAAAGGTTATCATTAATTTCAGAAATATCTTTGCATATTCCACAGCAGAGAGGAGGAAATCAGCAATAGAAATCTTCTACAGGTATGATGAGTGATTTCATTCCTCTTAAACGTTCTGCAAAACAATCACCAAAGGATATATTAAAACGATGCAAAGAAATGTCAGTCAACATTTACAACACGGTGGTTATAAATATAAACTCCTGCACCTCAAGCTTCCACTCCAGGTAATTGTTTTTAATTTAGAACAACACTGCTTCCACCTAATTATCTAAATGAGCTGAAGAGGTTCTGATTAGTGACAAATGACTTTTAAACACTCTCGTTCTGAATGTGTCTGAAACAGCACTCCATTAGCCAGGTGCTATGGCAACTGAGATAAAGCCAGCAGAGCAGAATCAGGAAATGAAGGGAGATATTGTTCTGACAATTGACACTATATGTAGTGGAGGAGGAGGAGGTCTGCGACTCACCGTACGAATCATACGACTCCCCGCTGTGTCCGTATTCATAGTAGTCATCTGAGCTGCAAGCAGAGAGAAAAAAAAAAGTGAATATAACATTTAAATGAATAATTTACTGTTTATTTCACTTTAAAGTCAATTAAGTTGTAGTGCTGCAGCCATGGAAGTTTCCACTCACACTAAAACTGGAAATTGAAACAAGAAAAATAAGCATGAAAAATGATTTATGTCGCTTTAAAAGTTTGTAGGTATATAAGGCAGCTTCCTTCCTTTATTTCTCCACAAGCTTCTAGTTCCATATTGCTGCTTATGGAGATGTATGAGGCGTGGCAGCTTTAATATAAAGTAAAAAGATGGGGGACGAGTTGCAGAGCGCTTCATTTCTCTGCTTGTTTATTTATTTATTTATTTTTGGATTTTGTGGTCGTCGGTGAGGCAGTGACAGAACAATCCTGCGTCGACATCACTCGGTAACAGCGCTATCATTCAGGAGAGGCAATTCATCATAAGGCTGCCACTGAGCCGACAGCAGCCATCACAGCTGGGTCCTCTCCGCCTGCCTGTCAGTCACACTGTCAGCGATAGGAGCACCTCTCTGCTCCCCAGATTAGAGAGCTGAAAACGTCATTCAAACACCCCCCCCCCACCCCCTCAGCGAACGCCAAGCCAACACCGGCTGACTGCTGAGGGCAAAGAGGTGACAGCTGTGACACCACAGAACTATCAAATTATTATTTTTCCCTGCTGTTAAGTAGCTTTCTTCCTGGGGACTGTGAACCTGTGGTTCTATTCTCTGCCTAACAAGGCCACAATTCTCTGGCTGTTTGGGAAAGAAATCTTTGCAATGTTGTGGGACTGCACCCATCTGTAAGCAATAGGTGATTAAATGACATCAACAGCAACAAACATAAAGGTATTTTTAAGGCAGGCAGACTTGTCATGTAGTAAAATAATCAAAACAGTAATTATAAACTATAAATCATGTTTAAATCCTTTATCTGTCCTAAATATTCCCATTGATTTTTAGAACCTCAATTTATTCAATCTGTGGAATGACTAAAAAAGCTAATAATTGACTTACTCTGCTGAAATATTTTACAGCAGCCAATCGTTTTACTCTTAATGTAATATTACGCTTAACATTTTGTCATTTTATTGTCATTTTGTCCACCCAACATTTGGTACTTCTAAAGGTTAGGCCATTTTGTACTAAACTTTCCAAAGTACAAAAAGGAGATTGAAGTAGTTTTGTCGCAAAAAGCTAATTGGGCCAGATCTTTGTTTGTTTATTTTCTGTGTGGAAGCTTTTGTTAAGTTACAGGTTTTGTGGCCTGGTTTCTGGCAGACAGTGAATTGAGAGGGCTTTAATGTTTGTCCTGTCCTCTGATCGTGTCCTGGTCCTTCTCTGCGGAGCCCTCAGGGTTTTTGGTCGGAATGTGGAGAAGGTCAGTTTTATTCCTGTAAGCCTGGCTCCAAGGAGGAGACCAGTTTAAAGTTTCCTGCAGAAATTCTGGTACTACGTCTTGTCTCTGTTCCCTCAACCACTGAGCTTGCCCGTCTGCATCTGAGCCTGCCTGTCTGCATCCGTGCTCATCTGTCTGGGCACGCTTCTGGACCCGTCTGTCCCTGAACCAGCCTTCACGCTCTGTGGATTCCAGGAAGCCTTTTTCCTTCTGTTCCTGTTTGTGTCAGAAGTTATGATCAGCTGTTGGCTCTTGGAAAGCTGGACCGTTCCTGCCTGCTCTGTCTTCCCTTGGCCTGGATCGGCCTCCTGCATGTTCTCCAGGTAGGCGCAGCGCACGTCGCGTCTGGTTGGCTGCCCATCGACTGGATCACACCTATTTAAGGGAGGATGGGCTGAATAGAGAAACCAGAGTCATGATGGATTGCGCCCCTCCAGTTGCTGCAGGTCCGCAGCTCGACATTTCTGCACTTTTTTAACTGTTCTGTCTGTTTTTTCCATTAATAAATGTTTTGTACTTTCCTACTGGCTATCTCAACATGCATACTGGGTCCATCTGTCCCGCTTATGACACTATTGAAAGACTGCTGCTCTCTAGGTGCAAAAAAGAAAGCCATTGCAGATCCTTCCTCCCTGTAGCAGGTAGACTTTACAACAATCACTGTTCTTGACAAGCTTAATAAAGGTTTAAATCCATGCTGTTATTTCCACAGTTTTTCCTTTTATTCTATGAATAGCATTTTTCTTTTGTTCTCTAACATAACCTGCTCTCAGACAAATTATGAAAAATGCTACAAATGTGTTTAATGCCAAGAGAACTTTAGGGGCTGAGCTATTTGTAGGGATGCACTCTAAAAAGCACTGCTCCATCTTAAACGAACTGCCTCAATCAGTAATAAGTAATTGAATTAAGTTGATCAAACTTCCTTTAATAAGTTTATTAGTTGACAACTTAAATAAATCAATTTGGAAATCTTAAATTATTGAAAGGAGCATAGGAAATGGCCAGTGGGGGTTATGCAGGGGTCTGGTCAGGATCGGGAAAAGTGGAAGTGAGTTAAGCATAGCCTCGCCTTATTGAAGCATGTACCATTTGCCTACTACATACAAAGTGTGTCTGGGTAATTTGTATCGGCGCCCGTTAGATATAGAGCTAAATTGAAAGATGAAACAATGTTAAAGTAATGAAACTGGTACTTTTCAAGCCACAGGCTGGATCTGCTGGGTAAGATTTATGACTGGACATCCTGCATTGTTTGGGCGGACAGCCTATTGGCCAGAATATGACGCTAATGTTACAGTCACATTTTTAAACCCAGTGGACCAATTACAACATCATACATTTACAGTAAGTCAGTTCTCACTTGTAACATGATACAGACCAAACTAACATATTGCCAGTCTGTAAAAGAATCTGCCTCTTTCTCCTGTTTGTGAGCCTTTAGAATAAACTGAGTTCTGGTACTTGTTTTACTGCTGATATTAGATTAAAGTGTTAAAGTTTATGCATATTTTAAGTTTATACATAGCGTCAGGGAAATGATGTGCACACGCTTTTGAGAAACAAAGAACCTTTGGAATATTGATGAAAAAGAAAAATTAGGAACCTTTGTTACATATATTACAGTAGCTGAACTTGTGGCTATAATGATAAAAGCCTGTATGTCTGAAGAAGGCATGTACCAGCATTTAATGTTCAGGGTTC